CAAATACGAAGTGGTATGGGAAATAGCTCCCGAAAAAAGTGTTCAAACACTACTTGTCTAGTCTATGTGTTCCCTGGTTAATATGTTATGAAAAAAATTTGATAATAACTATAATTAGCATTGGGTATGTATCCTTTAAACTTTAATAATTGCTGATAATAGGTTTGGCATCGAAAAAAATTATTATTATTATATGAGTGACGTCTTCACTTTTTTGCCATTCTTCAATAAGAGCTTTTTTAGGTCGTTTTTTTTATTACCCGTTTTGAGATGCGCCTATCCAATTATTTGCACAAGCGTTCAATTCTATTTAGGTCTGGAGATAGTGGTGGGTGCGGTAACACATGGGCGGTATTATACGCCAGCCATATTTTGACGAAATGGGCAGAATGCTTGGGGTCATTGTCAATGTTAAATGTGAACTGAAATGTGAAAAGGTTATCACTCAAAATATTTAGATATAAATGTTTGTCCACTATACCGTCTACAAATACCAATTCGCGCACACCTGCAGCAGATATGCAACCCCAGACCATCACCCCACAAACAACCATGCTTAACGCTCGGCGTAATATTGTTTTTGTGAAACGAGGTATTCGGCATTCTCTAAGCAGTTTAACGCCCATCCGATCGCTTGGAGCGCTGCACGTTGATTTGAATAGAAAATCGGTCTTTCCATTATCTCTCCAGATTATGCATAAAATTTGCCTTGATCATGCAAATGCAGGATAATTTTCCCTCTAAGCTATCGATGTCTCTTTTAGCTTAGGTGCCATTATTAAGAAAAGTACAAAAGTATGCTCAATTCTTACAAAATTTTCTATATCAAAATTCAAATTTGCGAAACTTTAAATAAAGAAACATAACATACACTCCCGAAATTCAATAAAAGGCACCATGTTTTTCTGGATTTTTTGAGTATTATTCATGGTGGTATATATATTCTTTTTTAAATCGCATATTTTTATTTGTTATATGTTATACACAACAATCTTTTTATATATTTTTGTAAACAAGAAACTTATAATCTAAGAAAAACGAAAATTTAAAAAAAATAAAAGCGCGAAATTCAATTAAAGGCACTTTGACTTAACATATAAAAAAAATCGAAAACAAACTTAATTAAAACCCGTAAATATAAATTAATAATGTGTCCATCCCCCAGATTTGTGAATTACTTCAAAAATTCGATCTGGCATCGAATTAATAGTTTTTATACCCTGAGCCCATTTCAAATGTATGTAACAGGCAGAGGGAGGCGTGGCAGACCCCATAAAGTATATATATTCTTGATCAGGGCGACGAGCTGAGTCGATTTAGCTCTGTCCGTCTGTCCGTCCGTCCGTCTGTCCGCCTGTCCGTATGAACGCAATCTATTCCGGCGCTATTGAAGCTAGAGACTTGAAATTTGGAACACATACTCGTGTATATCTCCGATTTATAAAAGTGTTTTCCCGATCCGCCCACTAGGGGCGTGGCAAATCGGAAAATGCATTTTCCGATATACCAGAAATCATGTTAGTTGAAGAGCTAGAAAGCTGAAATTTGGTACGTATGTCCGCGTCGACCACCCAAGCTATGGCGGATATATCTCCGCCCATTGGGGCGTGGCAAATCGGATAAAACTGTATCTCCTAAAAGTTATAAACCTAGAATGCTGAAATGCATGTAAGCTGATGTTTTAATTCTATGAAGTTGGGTGAAAAAATTATATATTTACGCCCACTAGGGGCGTGGCAAATTGCACCTGAAGATATAGTAATTTTTCGAATTCTGCTCTATTTTGGACACTATTGATGCCAGACTTCAAATTTTGTATATATACTCGGGCTGATCACCCAAGAATAAAAAGCTTTGTCGGATATATGTCCGCCCACAGGGGGCGTGGCAAACCGCAAAAGTTGGATATCTCCCTAAAGTATAATACCTAGAAGCTTCAAATTTAGAGAGTGAAGTTACCAGTAACCTCTTCTATCGATGACCCAAAATACTTTTTACGCCTCTTTTGAGGGCGTTTAATATATCGAAAAATACCCTGCAATTTTCACATTTTTTGAGGGTAAGGATTCAAACTTTGCAGTTAGTGTACCGTTGTCACGTTCTAAGAAGTGACCAAAAATGAGGTGTCTGCGCCCAGTAGGGGCGTGGAAAACAGAAAACCTGTATATGCCTACAGTATTAGAGAGAAAAACTTAACTACTAAATTGTTAATGGGATGTGAATGAGTATTCTGCAGTCGGTAACGCCCGAGTGCAACGTTCGTACTTGTTTATGTATACTTATATGCATTATACAATTTCGGTTTTTTGTCACCCTAATTCTAATTCATCCCCTCACCATCACATTTGTAAAAAAGCGTATTTCAAATACTTGTGCTTTGGACAAATACTCGTATATCCATGTTATAATCATAATCTGAAAGTTTCATGAAGAAAGTACATCCACAAGAAAAGTTATTGAACAATTAGGTTCCTATAGTAAACCACCACTGCAGCCAATGCGTGCGTGCTATCTATGTGTGTGTGTGTGTGTGTGTATGATGTGTGTGTATATGTGTGTGTATGCCTGTGTGTGTATGCTTGTGTGTGTATGCTTGTGTGTGTATGTTGTGTGTGTATGTTTGTGTGTGTATGTGTGTGTGTGTGCGTGTGTGTGTGTGTGTGTGTGTCTTGTGTAAGCAAAAGACACGAAAATGATTGAAACAGCTATTGCTCGAAGGGTTCAGGGGAACTCGTAGTTGGGCAATCTCGACTACAGCTTGTTATTTGTTATACCCTGAACCCATTTTCAATGGGAAATCAGGGTATAATGGTTTTGTTGAAAGGTATGTAACAGGCAGAAGGAGGGCGGGCAGACCCCATAAAATATATATATGCCCTGGGATCAGGGCGAAGAGCTGAGTCGATTTAGCTCTGTTCGTCTGTCCGTCCGTCCGTCTGTCCGTATGTTTGAACGCGTCGATCTCAGAAGATATAAGAGCTAGAGACTTGAAAACCAGTAATAAATTTATATCTCCTACATCTTTAAAAGCTAGAGTCTCCAAATTTTATATGTAGATAAAATATATGCATTTTATAAAATTTCGATTTTTGTCAAAATTTACCCCCCACCCCAATTCAACCCTCACCATCACCTTTGTAAAAGGCGTATTTCAAATACTAGAGACTTGTGCTTTGAAATATACAAATTATTGAACAAATAAATTCTTATAATGTTGCCCACACTGCAGTGCAGCCCAAGCGCAGTCGCTGCTTACTGCGCAATTAGCAGAGTGCGCTCTAATACGTGCGTGCATGTATATGTACCGAAAAGAAGTGCAATGATTAGAATATCAAATTAGAGGGTAAAAAGGTATCTTCTAGTCGAGCAGTCTCGACTAGAGTCTTCTTTACTTGTTATACTCTGAACCCATTGAAAGCGGAAATCAGGGGTATAATGGTTTTGTTAAAAGTAAGTAACAGGCAGAAGGAGGTGTGGAAAACCCTATAAAGTATATATATTCCTGATCTGGTCGAAAATCTGAGTCGATTTAGCTCTATCCGTCCATCCGTCTGTCTGTCTGTATATAATCACGCGCATATCGAGTCTTTCTTAAAAAAACGATCACTTGGCCAGTTATTTTGTTATCGATTAAAAACTTTATCGCAAATCAGTAATAAATTTATAACTGTTCCATCTTTAGAGCTAGAGTCGACAAATTTTTAATGTAGACTCATATGTACTTTATAGAATTTCGATTTCTTTTAAAAATAAAAAACAATTTCAAAGTGCTCAAATATTTGAAGGATATAATCGTACTGAAATAAGACTAGAAATAGTAAAGCATTTGTACAAAGGTTGTTGGGTATAATAAGTACCTCTGGAGCGTCGGCTCCCTTCTTATATTGGTTTAATAATTGAATGAATATTATATCTTTAAATAATTTGTTTTAGCCTTAGTATGTAGAATCATACCCACACGTGCTCGTTCTTGTCGCTGCCGTCAGTTTGTTATGTATTAATGGTTACAATATTACAAAATATTGATAAGAACAAAATAGTAAAGGAAACAAAATGACAATCAGAATAATGAAAATCACTGCGCAACTTTGGTACAAGTGTATACCAACGATTACGCCTGTGCAATGCGAGTGATTTCCCTAAGATGACTTGAAAGCAAGGATTTTGTTAATGGAAGAGGGATAGAACTCTAAGGAAAATTCATAATATTAAACAAGTAAGAAAACTCTAGTGGAGACTGCTCGACTTAGATACTACCCTGAACCAAACTAATAAAAAGGCCCATTTAGTATGGCTAAAAATTTAAATTGCGATGTATTTAAAAATATAAATGAAATACAAAACTCATTTAATTAATAAATAAATATTTTGAAACAATTAAAAAAATCAGTTGCGCGTTTGGAATTCGAACTGCCACCTTAGCTTTTGAAAGCTCGCTGGCAAAAATTGAAAAAGATTCACTGCTGCAGCGCCATCTAGCAAAACTAAACCAAGCTAACAGCTGTCCTAGAAGAAGTTTGAATGTATGTGTGCACACGTATATTGTTGTAGCTGCTGTACGTGCGTTTGTTAATTGGCCAAACATAACGTCGATTGACTTAACGGAATTTAATGAAATTTTCAGCACATGAATATCTGACAAATTAAAAAAAAAAAAAAAAAAAAAAAAATAAAAAATCATTCACAATTAGCTATATAGTGGCTTCTGACTTGAACTTGAATGTTTTTATTCGATAAAAACATAACGGGATGATTTATCGAATTTTAAAAGCAAACTCGACATCCGCGCTGTATATGCGGTCATTTAAAAAACAAATCAATCTTCAGAAATCGACGCGTTCAAACATACGTACAGACGTCGCTCTGATCAAGAATATATATACTTTGTGGGGTCTGCCACGCCTCTTTCTGCCTGTTACATACATTTCAACAAAACCATTATACCCTGATTTCCCATTGAAAATGGGTTCAGGGTATACAAAATATAACGGACGAAAAAGTTACATTAACAAAAAGAACGAATCAATCAGAAAAATAATCCCTAAATGACAATACCTATTATTGATATCATATTAAACGTACTACATATTATAGATTTGCGATTTTATTTATTTAATACTAACATTTAAATAAGATTCCCAAATGTCAAATAAAGCATTCACAGATGATTTTTAATTACTATTCGCCTTCTCAAACACATTACGTAATGTCTAATTAAATGTATTTTCTTTTTACAGATTGATGATATTACCATTGAATCTTCTTCAAGTTTGGAAATTTTAAGAAGAGTTGCAGCGTTGGAGGCTGAAAATAAGGAAATTCGAAATATTGTTTCAAATTTTGCTCAACTGTATAATGATATGCTGAAACGTATTTCAATTATCGAAAATAACAGAATTTTAAATTAAAATATATTAGTGGCTTGATACGAATAATCATGAAAAAGTAATAATAAGCGAAAACCAAATATTTACAAAATTGTATGAATTATTGTCAACTCCATTATATACTTGATTTGTATTTATGAGACAAGAGCAAGAATATGACGCTAATAACTGATATGTATAACCTGATGAGATAATAAAAAAAAAAGTATTTGGAATATTAACAATTTTTAAGAAATAACCCTTTTTATACCCTGAACCCATTTTCAATGGGAAATCAGGGTATAATGGTTTTGTTGAAATGTATGTAATAGGCAGAAGGAGGCGTGGCAGACCCCACAAAGAATATATATTCTTGATCAGGGCGACGAGCTGAGTTGATCTGGCCCTGTCCGTCTGTCCGTATGTTTGAACGCGTCGATTTCCGAAGATAAAAGAGCTAGAGACTTGAATTTTTTTTTAAATTACCGTATAAACAGCGCGGATGTCGAGTTTGCTTTTAAAATTCGATAAATCATACCGTTATGTTTTTATCGAATAAAAACATTCAAGTTCAAGATGCCACTACAGCTAATTGTGAATGATTTTTTTTTTTTTAATTTCTCAAATATTCAATATAATATGTAGATCATATGCTGAAAGTTTAAATTTTATTCAGTCAAAAATTAATTAAAAATCAATTAAATATTTGGCCAATTAACAAACGCACGTGCAGCCGCTACAACAGCATTGTATACGTTCATTCAAACTTCTTATGGAACATTCTTTGAATCACATCAGCTGTTAGTTTGGTTTAGTTTTGGTAGATGGCACTGCAGCAGTGAATCTATTTGAGTTTTGACAGCGCAGCTTTTAGAAGTGAGGTGGCGTAGTGAGTAGCTGCGTGACGCTCGGTCGAGAAGTCCCGTCGATTTCAGAAGATATAAGAGCTAGAGACTTCAAATTTTTTTAAAATGTCCGTGTTTACAGCGCGTATATCGAGTTTATCACTAAAAATCGACAAATCATCCCGATTTTTTTATCGATAAAAACCCTTATCGAAAATCAGTTATAAAATTATATCTCCTACATCTTTCGAACTACAGTCTCCCAATTTTGAATGTATATTTATATGCATTTTATACAAATTCGTTTTTTGTTAAAATTTACCCGCCACCCCTAAATCACCTTTGTAAAAGGCGTATTTCAAATACTAGAGACTTATGCTTTTGCAGGTGCACGCATATTATTGTTATAATTACGATCTACAAATTTCATGAAGATCGTATGTCCACAAAAAAAGTTATGAAACAATTAAGTTCTCATATTAAGCGCACACTGCAACCCATGCGTGTTTATGCGTGGGTGCTTGTGTGTGTATGTTTTTGTGTGTGCACGTGTTTCTTGTGTAAGCAGAAATACGCAAAAAATTATTGAAATAGCTATTGCTCGAAGGGTTCAGGGGATCTCGTAGTCGAGCAGTCTCGACTAGAGCTTTCTTACTTGTTATTAGTTAGTTATCTTTTGTTAGTTATCTTTTGTTACCGAACCGGCAAACAGTTTTTATTATTTTATATGGCTTGGGAAGCACGCAGGATCCTTTTTGGTGTAAGACCTACTTACTTTCTCTTACTTTCGTTTCATTTATTTATTTATTTTTACTTTTTTTCTTTTCTATATTGTTGCCAGACTTATTCTCTTCCGAAAGGGAAGCCCAAAGTATTCCTCTTTGGTTCTAAGACCTATTGTAAGGGTTATTCCACGATCGAATAGAAGGTCTCTGCAATTCATGTTTTTATTTTTGCATATTTACGCTTTGCTTGTTGATTAGAGATTTCCAGATAACCGCCTTTTAGTTAGTGCTTTAAACTTAACTTTGACCTCTAGGTTCCTTTTAATTTATACGGAAACCCATCATTCAACACAGGTGGAAATTGTGACGTTTATTTTTTATGACATTTGTCTTACGGGAAGGATTTGAACCTCGATACGAGAATAAATCTCGTACCACCATTATGCCTGCAAATTTCTTTTATTTTCGTTTTAAGAGTCGTCTCGGCACGGATTTGAACCTAGGTATTGCCAATACCACCATTTAGCCACGATTTCTTTTATGTTATAGAATTATCTAGTGCACCAACACTTGCTAGAAATTATTTTATTATATATTGTATTATGTTATGGCAAGCACTTTTACCCCATTACTTTGCAAATCACAGAAGTACTTCATAATTTTGCCAACAATTGCCCTATTGGATTGGAACAATTTATTTGTACTTGCTTTTTTAATAAGTTATTTTTATAGAATTATTGACACGTCACCATTTCCCTTTACTTCCGTGAAGAATGTGGGTCCCTGCTCGGGCGCCAGTTAAGCGCTCCCACACTAGAGTACTAGTGATTGGGGACGCTGTGTTGGGTTCTTGTGAATATATAACAACTTTGTGTTCAATGAAATAATATATTTTGTATAATTTGGAACAATAGGTCTAAACTCTCTCTAGTCCGAATATATACTAAACTAAATGTGTTCTACTGGTTAGGTTCTCCCCTTGAATGTCTGACTGGACTCTCCAGCCTCCTTAGATTGTCGAAAGTCTTAACTTATATTCACAAGAACCCAACACAGCGTCCCCAATCACTAGTACTCTAGTGTGGGAGCGCTTAACTTACATACATTAGAGTTCTGGTAGTGTACTCGTTGGTGATAGTCTTCCAAATATTTAAAACTTTTCATGTATTTGGAAATCAAAATTTATGAAACAAGACTCTAAGATCCGAGTTAAAGCTTCAAGTTGACCAAAAGAAATCTAACACAAATCAAACCAAGGGAAACATGTGGGAGGGACAAACGAAACATTAAGATGTACTTATTTTGGGTTACTTGATATTTTCAAGTAATGTTTGCCAGCTGTTCACATCTATAGCAAATGGTTTAGAAATCGAAAATAAATGCTGAAATTACAACGAGTAAAAAAACTCTAGTCAAGAGTGATCAACAAGATACTACCCTGATGCAAACTATTAATATTTTGAATTTCTATATATTTAAAAAAATAATAGTTTTGAATGTATGTATATATATTCATAAAAATATAATATTAAGTGTAGATGGACATTAGTGTATAGTTACAAATTTTGCCAGGATACAGTCTTAAACTTGCATATAAGCAATGAAAACTGTTTTCATTTAGTGGATGGATCCCGTTGTTTTTATACGCTGAACCCATTTTCAATGGGAAATCAGGGTATAATGGTTTTGTTAAATGTATGTAACAGGCAGAAGGAGGTGTGGAAAACCCTATAAAGTATATATATTCCTGATCTGGTCGAAAATCTGAGTCGATTTAGCTCTATCCGTCCATCCGTCTGTCTGTCTGTATATATCACGCGCATATCGAGTCTTTCTTAAAAAAAACGATCACTTGGCCAGTTATTTTGTTATCGATTAAAAACTTTATCGCAAATCAGTAATAAATTTATACCTGCTCCATCTTTAGAGCTAGAGTCGACAAATTTTTAATGTAGATTCATATGTACTTTATAGAATTTCGATTTCTTTTAAAATAAAAACAATTTCAAAGTGCTCAAATATTTGAAGGATATAATCGTACGAAATAAGACTAGAAATAGTAAAGCATTTGTACAAAGGTTGTTGGGTATAATAAGTACCTCTGGAGCGTCGGCTCCCTTCTTATATTGGTTTAATAATTGAATGAATATTATATCTTTAAATAATTTGGTTTAGCCTTAGTATGTAGAATCATACCTACACGTGCTCGTTCTGTCGCTGCCGTCAGTTTGTTATGTATTAATGGTTACAATATTACAAAATATTGATAAGAACAAAATAGTAAAGGAAACAGAATGAGAATCAGAATAATGAAAATCACTGCGCAACTTTGGTAACAAGTGTATACCAACGATTACGCCTGGGCAATGCGAGTGATTTCCCTAAGATGACTTGAAAGCAAGGATTTTGTTAATGGAAGAGAGGGATAGAACTCTAAGGAAAATTATAATATTAAACAAGTAAGAAAACTCTAGTGGAGACTGCTCGACTAGATACTACCCTGAACCAAACTAATAAAAAGGCCCATTTAGTATGGCTAAAATTTAAATTGCGATGTATTTAAAAATATAAATGAAATACAAAACTCATTTAATTAATAAATAAATATTTTGAAACAATTAAAAAAAAATCAGTTGCGCGTTTGGAATTCGAACGCCACCTTGGTTTTGGAAGCTGCGCTGGCAAAATTGAAAAAGATTCACTGCTGCAGCGCCATCTAGCAAAACTAAACCAAACTAACAGCTGTCCTAGAAGAAGTTTGAATGTATGTGTGCACACGTATACTGTTGTAGCTGCTGCACGTGCGTTTGTTAATTGGCCAAACATAACGTCGATTGACCTAACGGAATTTAATGAAATTTTCAGCATATGAATATCTGACAAATTTAAAAAAAAAAAAATCATTCACAATTAGCTATATAGTGGCTTCTGACTTGAACTTGAATGTTTTTATTCGATAAAAACATAACGGGATGATTTATCGAATTTTAAAAGCAAACTCGACATCCGCGCTGTATATGCGGTCATTTAAAAAACAAATCAATCTTCAGAAATCGACGTTCAAACATACGTACAGACGTCGCTCTGATCAAGAATATATATACTTTGTGGGGTCTGCCACGCCTCTTTCTGCCTGTTACGCCACATTTCAACAAAACCATTATACCCTGATTTCCCATTGAAAATGGGTTCAGGGTATACAAAATATAACGGACGAAAAAGTTACATTAACAAAAAGAACGAATCAATCAGAAAAATAATCCCTAAATGACAATACCTATTATTGATATCATATTAAACGTACTACATATTATAGATTTGCGATTTTATTTATTTAATACTAACATTTAAATAAGATTCCCAAATGTCAAATAAAGCATTCACAGATGATTTTTAATTACTATTCGCCTTCTCAAACACATTACGTAATGTCTAATTAAATGTATTTTCTTTTTACAGATTGACGATATTACCATTGAATCTTCTTCAAGTTTGGAAATTTTAAGAAGAGTTGCAGCGTTGGAGGCTGAAAATAAGGGAAATTCGAAATATTGTTTCAAATTTTGCTCAACTGTATAATGATATGCTGAAACGTATTTCAATTATCGAAAATAACAGAATTTTAAATTAAAAATATATTAGTGGCTTGATCACGAATAATCATGAAAAGTAATAATAAGCGAAAACCAAATATTTACAAAATTGTATGAATTATTGTCAACTCCATTATATACTTGATTTGTATTTATGAGACAAGAGCAAGAATATGACGCTAATAACTGATATGTATAACCTGATGAGATAATAAAAAAAAAGTATTTGGAATATTAACAATTTTTTAAGAAATAACCCTTTTTATACCCTGAACCCATTTTCAATGGGAAATCAGGGTATAATGGTTTTGTTGAAATGTATGTAATAGGCAGAAGGAGGCGTGGCAGACCCCACAAAGAATACTTATATTCTTGATCAGGGCGACGAGCTGAGTTGATCTGGCCCTGTCCGTCTGTCCGTATGTTTGAACGCGTCGATTTCCGAAGATAAAAGAGCTAGAGACTTGAATTTTTTTTTTAAATTACCGTATAAACAGCGCGGATGTCGAGTTTGCTTTTAAAATTCGATAAATCATACCGTTATGTTTTTATCGAATAAAAACATTCAAGTTCAAGATGCCACACTACAGCTAATTGTGAATGATTTTTTTTTTTTTTAATTTCTCAAATATTCAATATAATATGAGATCATATGCTGAAAGTTTAAATTTTATTCAGTCAAAAATTAATTAAAAATCAATTAAATATTTGGCCAATTAACAAAACGCACGTGCAGCCGCTACAACAGCATTGTATACGTTCATTCAAACTTCTTATGGAACATTCTTTGAATCACATCAGCTGTTAGTTTGGTTTAGTTTTGGTAGATGGCACTGCAGCAGTGAATCTATTTGAGTTTTGACAGCGCAGCTTTTAGAAGTGAGGTGGCGTAGTGAGTAGCTGCGTGACGCTCGGTCGAGAAGTCCCGTCGATTTCAGAAGATATAAGAGCTAGAGACTTCAAATTTTTTTTAAAATGTCCGTGTTTACAGCGTATATCGAGTTTATCACTAAAAATCGACAAATCATCCCGATTTTTTTATCGATAAAAACCCTTATCGAAAATCAGTTATAAAAGATTATATCTCCTAGCATCTTTCGAACTACAGTCTCCCAATTTTGAATGTATATTTATATGCATTTTATACAAATTCGTTTTTTGTTAAAATTTACCCGCCACCCCTAAATCACCTTTGTAAAAGGCGTATTTCAAATACTAGAGACTTATGCTTTTGCAGGTGCACGCATATTATTGTTATAATTACGATCTACAAATTTCATGAAGATCGTATGTCCACAAAAAGTTATGAAACAATTAAGTTCTCATATTAAGCGCACACTGCAACCCATGCGTGTTTATGCGTGGGTGCTTGTGTGTGTATGTTTTTGGTGTGTGCACGTGTTTCTTGTGAAGCAGAAATACGCAAAAATTATTGAAATAGCTATTGCTCGAAGGGTTCAGGATCTCGTAGGCCGAGCAGTCTCTGACTAGAGCTTTCTTACTTGTTATTAGTTAGTTATCTTTTGTTAGTTATCTTTTGTTACCGAACCGGCAAACAGTTTTTATTTTATATGGCTTGGGAGGCACGCAGGATCCTTTTTGTAAGACCTACTTACTTTCTCTTACTTTCGTTTCATTTATTTATTTTTACTTTTTTCTTTTCTATATTGTTGCCAGACTTATTCTCTTCCGAAAGGGAAGCCCAAAGTATTCCTCTTGGTTCTGAGACCTATTAGGGGTAAGGGTTGGTTCCACGATCGAATAGAAGGGTCTCTGCAATTCATGTTTTTATTTTATGCTTTGCTTGTTGATTAGAGATTTCCAGATAACCGCCTTTAGTTAGTGCTTTAAACTTAATTTTGACCACTAGGTTCCCTTTAATTTATACGGAAACCCATCATTCAACACAGGTGGAAAGACCTTTATTTTTTATGACATTTGTCTTACGGGCAAGGATTTGATCCCCGATCACGAAAGAAACCTCAAACCACCGTTGGTGCCTGCAAATTCTTTTTTTCGGTTTTTAAGAGTCGTCTTGGCACGGATTTGAACCTAGTATTGCCAAGCCCACCATTTAGCCACGATTTCTTTTATGTTATAGAATTATCAAGTACACCACAACACTTGCTAGAAATTATGTTATTATTTATTGTATTATGTTAAGGCAAAGCACTTTAACCCCATTACTTTGCAAATCACAGAAGTACTTCATAATTTGCCAACAATTGGCCCTATTGGATTGCAACAATTTATTTGTACTTGCTTTTTTAATAAGTTATTTTTATGGATTATTGGACACGTCACCATTTTCCCTTACTTCCGTGAAGAATGTGGGTCCCCTGCTCGGCGCCAGTTAAGCGCTCCCACACTAGAGTACTAGTGATTGGGGACGCAAAGTTGGGTTCTGTGAATATATAACAACTTTGTGTTCAATGAAATAATATTTTTGTATAATTTGGAACAATAGGTCTAAACTCTCTCTAGTCCGAATATATACTTAAACTAAATGTGTTCTACTGGTTAGGTTCTCCCCCTTGAATGTCTGACTGACTCTCCAGCCTCCTTAGATTGTCGAAAGTCTTAACTTATATTCAAAAGAACCCAACACAGCGTCCGCAATCACTAGTACTCTAGTGTGGGAGCGCTTAACTTACATACATTAGAGTTCTGGTAGTGTACTGTTGGTGATAGTCTTCCAAATATTTAAAACTTTTCATGTATTTGGAAATCAAAATTTATGAAACAAGACTCTAAGATCCGAGTTAAAGCTTCAAGTTGACCAAAAGAAATCTAACACAAATCAAAACCAAGGGAAACATGTGGGAGGGACAAACGAAAACATTAAGATACTTATTTTGGGTTACTTGATATTTTCAAGTAATGTTTGCCAGCTGTTCACATCTATTGCAAAATGGTTTAGAAATCGAAAATAAATGCTGAAATTACGAGAGTAAAAAAACCTCTAGTCGAGGATCAACAAGATACTACCCCTGATGCAAAACTGTTTATTAATATTTTGAATTTCTATATATTTAAAAATAATAGTTTTGAAATGTATATAATCTTAAGTGTAGATGCATAGTTACAAATTTTGCCAGGATACAGTCTTAAACTTCCATATAAGCAATGAAAACGGTTTTCATTTAGTGGATGGATCCTGTTGTTTTTATACCCCGAACCCATTTTCACTGGGAAATCAGGGTATAATGGTTTGTAAAAAATGTAAGGTAACAGGCAGAAGGAGGCGTGGCAGACCCCATAAAATATATATATTCTTGATCAGGGCGAAGAGCTGAGTCGATTTAGCCTCTGTTCGTTGTCCGTCCGTCCGTCTGTCCGTGGGTTTGAAAGCGTCGATCTCAGAAGATATAAGAGCTAGAGACTTGAAAACCAGTAATAAATTTATATCTCCTAACATCTTTAAAGCTAGAGCCCCCGGGTTTTATATGGAGATAAAATATATGCATTTTATACAATTTCGTGGTTTTTGTCGTACTCCCCCACCCCTAATTCACCCCTTCTCACCATCACATTTGTAAAAGGCGTATTTCAAATACTAGGGACTTGTGCTTGGAATTAAAAGTTATTCAAGAAATAATTCTTGTAATGTTGCCCACCGCAGCGGCAGCCCAAGGCGCAGTCGCTGCTTACTGCGCAGTTAGCAGAGCGCGTTCTAACACGTGCGTGTACAAGTATAAGAGCCGAAAAGAAGTGCAATGATTAGAATAGCAAATTAGAGGGTACAGGGTATCTTCTATTAGTCGGGCAGTCTCGACTAGAGTCTTCACTGGTTATACTAACCCATTGAAAGTGGGGAAATCAGGGGTATAATGGTTTTGTTAAAAGTAATGCAAGGCAGCAAAAGGAGGGTGTGGGAAAACCCTATAAAGCTTATGGTTATTTCCTGATCTGGTCGAAAATCTGAGGTCGATTTAGCTCATCCGGCCATCCGTCTGTCTGTCTGTATATATCGCATATCGAGTCTTTCTTAAAAAAAACGATCACTTGGCCAGTTATTTTGTTATCGATTAAAAACTTCTATCGCAAATCAGTAATAAATATACACTATCTTTAGAGCATTAGAGTCGACAAATTTTTAATGTAGATTCATATGTACTTTATAGAATTTCGATTTTCTCAAAATAAAAAACAATTTCAAAGTGCTCAACATTTGAAGGATATAATCGTACGAAATAAGACTAGAAATAGTAAAGCATTTGTACAAAGGTTAAGTTGGGTATAATAAGTGGAATTCTCGGGAGCGTCGGCTCCCTTCTTATATTGCTTAATAATTGGAATGAATATCGATCTTTAAATAATTTGGTTTAGCCTTAGTATGTAGAATCATACCTACACGTGCTCAAGTTCTGTCGCTGCCGCCTGGTTTGTTATGTATTAATGGTTACAATACAAAATATTGATAAGAACAAAATAGTAAAGGAAACAGAATGAGAATGTGAATAATGAAAATCACTGCGCAACTTCAACAAGTGTATACCAACGATTACGCCCGGGCAATGCGAGTGATTTCCTAAGATGACTTGAAAGCAAGGATTTCCCGACGGAAGAGAGGGATAGAACTCTAAGGAAAATTATAATATTAAACAAGTAAGAAAACTCTAGTGGGAGACTGCCTGACTAGATACCACCCCGAACCAAACTAATAAAAGGCCCATTTAGTATGGCTAAAATTTAAATTGCGATGTATTTAAAATATAAATGAAATACAAACTCATTTAATTAATAAATAAATATTTTGAAACAATTAAAAATCAGTTGCGCGTTTGGAATTCGAACGCCACCTTTAGTTTTGGAGGCTGCGCTGGCAAAATTGAAAAGATCTCACTCGCTGCAGCGCTTTCATCAGCAAAACTAAAACCAACTAACAGCTGTCCTAGAAGAAGTTTTGAATGTATGTGCACACGTATACTGTT